AATAGATACAGCAGTTCTACAAGAAGTCATGGAAAATCTGACTGCCTCTGGGTTTGCTATGAATCTCAGTAGCATGTGACCAGATAGAAATGCCTTTGCTGAGACCACCCTATGAAGAGAAAAGGCACGTAGAATTTGTTATGAAGAAACAAATGAGCTAAAAATACAAAATTAAGGGGAAACTTTTTATATTGATGAAACATCACCTTAACCATTAAAGCAAGTTCTAAATTTGCAAGGTTGAAGGGATATGCCCCATATAAACAAAGTTCCATGTATGATAAAAATTTAAACAATTGGCATTCTAAATAAAAAATAAATTTATATTAAAGTAAGAAGTAATGCACCTTACCTACCTACTGTGTTTAATGTGGATGCCATAAATGAAAGAGCTCTTAACATTCAAATTAACAGAAAGATTTCCATTTCTTGAGGGAACTATTTTATTTTTTACAGGAAAAGTCAATGCATACAAGTTAAAACAAAAAGGAGAATGTATGAACTGATTAAATGTATGACTTTTCCATTAAAGTAACAGAGAAAAAAATTCCACCTTTTTGGAATTCAGATTCTGGCAGGAGGAAATAAACTGGAACTGGAGTATTGGGAGGGTCAAAAGTGAGGTAAGGCCTCATTAAGTTGATATGATCTGAGTAAGGACCTGAAGACAATGAGAAAGTTAGCCAAACATGTATTTGAAGAAAGAATATTCCAAGCAGAGGAAACAATCATATCAAAGGAAAGAGCCATAAGGTAGAATCTAGAATATTCTAGAAATATCAAGTAATGTGATTAGAGCCAAGTTAAGGCAGAGTAATAAAAGAGGTAGGAATAGGGGAAATAGGGAAAAGTACCAGATGTAGGATCAAAGAGCTTTAATTTGCAACCTGTCACTGGAAGGTTTTGAGCAGAGAAGATAGCTTACATACCAAAAGGGTCACTTTGGCTGCTGTATCTAGAAGAGAATTTAGTGAGTGAAGTCAAAGCAAGGAGATCTATTAGGAGAAATTGCAGAACTTTAGAAACTCCACATGGGACTGGATGGTGGCTCAGTGAAATCAGATGGAAGTAGCCATCAGAGACATTAACTCCTGAGACATTACCTCGATCAAAAGAGAAAGAGCATTGTGAGGGATGCTCCCTTCTTACCTGAGCCTCTAAAAGTATAGACTTGCCATCACCTGAAGTGAGAAAGGTCTGTTCTCCTTTGGAAAGGGAACGGATCAGCTGTTCATTTTTTGAAAGATGAGTCAGAGTAGTTTGTTATATATTGAGTGGAGATTTGAAAAAAAGCAAGTAGATCACAACCTGAAATTTGTGAGAAAGACCTCAGCTAGAGATACAAATTTGGGGGGTCATCAACTTACCTGTGGTATTTAAGGTCATGAGACAGGTAGAACACAAAGGAAATGAGTATAAAGTGAAAAGGTCTGAGGACAGAGCCCTTCAACATGAAGAACCTGCAAAGGCAAATAAGAAGGGACAACTGACCAAATAGGAGAAAATTCAGAATTAGAGTGTGGTGTCTTGGAAATCATATGAAGAAATTAGGTCAAGAAGGGAGCAACTGGGCCTCCCCTGGTGGCGCAGCAGTTGAGTGCTGGGCTGCGAAGCTGCCCACAGCCTCTGCAGCGCTGGTTCCATCCCAGCTGCTGACGAGGGTCCCACATGGCACTCAGACCTCTCCTGCCATGCCCACTGCTCCTCTCAGCAGTGTATTTCATCAGTCTGCCTGTTCTGTTTCCCTCTCTGGCTCTAGTGAATTCTGCTCCCCGCTCTGGCTCTGGTGAATTCTCTCACCCTCCCGCGCTTCTGACTGTACCCAGTGCTTGTATAAATAAATAAATAAATAAATAAATAAATAAATAAATAAATAAATAAATAAACAAACAAATAAATAAATAAATCTTTTTTAAAAAAGGGAGCAACTATTGATAGGTGGTATAAGATGAAGACAGAGTGTGAACAAATTTAATTACGGTCATATGCTTGAGTGAATCTATAGGAGGGATGTTTGTAGATTGCTGATTGAAATGGTAGATGCCATAGTCATTTATAAATAGTAATCAAAGACTGGCATGCAACCACATTAGGGCCCCTATGCTTTAAAGTAGTGGAATGGGGTCTTTTTTTCTTGCCTGCTCACCTAAAATTCCATTAAAACAACACTAAAAGCATACAATGGAAAATAATAGGTCACACTATTGAAAAATGAGAACAATCGATAAATCTGAATTGTGAAAAATTTCTAAAGGACATAAAAGAAATGAAATTGATTGCTAAAGAAATAGACAAAAGCCCAAATCTCAAAAGAAAAATAGAGGCAACCTGCCATGGGGATAAATCTGTTCGCATAAAAATCTCAACAGTGCTTCAAGCTCAGGATCATTTATTAGGCCAGGTAGATACACATAATAGTTGTTAGAGGAAGGAAGGGAGAAAGGAGAGAGGAAAGAAGGAAGAAGAGAGGGAGGGAGTTTGCATTTTGTTCCCAGGGCTTTCTATAAGACTTGCATAACTCTGATAGCAAAACCAGACAAAAATAGCATAAAACCAATTGTTGCACAACTGTGAATATACTAAGAAAAACATTGAATTGTAATCTTTAGATAAGTGAATTATATAGTATGTGAATTATATCTCAATAAAGCTGTTATTTTTTCTAAGCACATAATAATTTATGTAATCACCACCACAATCAAGATACAAGGCTATTCTATCCACAAAGAACAAAACTCTCCCTGATGCTACCGCTATGTAATCACGCCTACCCCACTACCCAATCCCTAACTTCAGTAACCGCACTAAGTTGTTTTCTATCTCTATAACATTGGTTTAATGCTTTTTAAAAAGGATTTAATCACTCTATCTTTCTGTAGATTCTCTTAAAATACTAACCATTCTTATTTTAAAGTCATATGAAATCATTGTGAGTTTTTAAATGTCTGTCATTTCATTTAGATTCCAACCAATTGATTCTACTTTTAATCATACTTCCTAATTTTTAATTGGATGCTGGCCATTGTGTGTGAAAATCTGTAGAGCCACAGGATGATGTTATCTTCTTTAAAAGCGGGTTTTATGTTTTGTTTGGCAGGCAGGTGGAATACGAGCAGATCCTGTTGAGAGTTAATGTTAGCCTTTGTTAGAGCTTGCTCTATTTTCAATTTTACTTCTAGGATGCAGTGTTTCTGGGATTTCAGCATAAAGCTTAGGGGTTTTACTAAATTCTTTTAACTCAGTGAACCTTGAGCTACAATTTCTGTCTCCCAAGAACTTGATGGCTACTCTGCTGTTAGTGCTATTTGTCATATTTGCTTTGTTTCATAGTTGTTAACAATGGGAAGGTTATTCCCATATTGGTTATTTTTTCTTGACCTTCAGGGTATCTTTTAGAGTTCCTGGGTCCTTGCAATGTCTGCTTTATCACTTTGCCTCTTAGCTGTACCTGTCTTACCTCTTTGCCTTCTCTTACTGCTATCTGTGTATCTCCTACCACAATAATGGCTTATCTTGAATCCATCTCTCTTCAGATGACATAAAACTGGTGCTATCATTTATAGAAATTTAAGTACAATGCATAGGAAGACTTTATGTAAAATTTTCTATCTATAGGTATTTTCACACAACTGGTAATCATGTCACTCTCAGAACCCCTTTATTTCTCACCTATAAAAAGATTTCAACTTCCTTTGGAATTATATTGGCATAGTTATTCATGAAAGCTTCTCTGGCCTTCAACTTTTCCCAAATGTCTGTCTCCAAAACTTGATATATCTTTTCAACCATCAAGTAGTAGCCCACAAAAATCAACCAAAATTATGTACTTACTTGAGAAGCAATCAACTCAATTAGAAAAGTAAATACCAGGGCCTCCCTGGTAGCGCAGGGGTTAAAGACACAGCACTCTCAAGCTGTCACCAGCCACTGCAACATGAGTTCCATCCCAGGCCAGGTAGGTTACCCACGTAGGTTACCCAGCAGACCACTCCTGTCTCACCCACTGCTCCCCTCGGCAGTGTATTTCAATACATCTGCCTGTTCTGCTCCCCACTCTGTCTCTGGTGAATCCTCTCACCCCCACACCTTTGGCCTATACCCTAGTTATTGTATGCATAAATAAATCTTTTTTAAAAAAAGTAAATACCAGTGAAATGAGAGTCACATCTCAATCACATCCCCCCTTACCAGCATTTCATGCCTCTGCTTCCCAAATAAATTACTTGTGCTCAACTTCATAGTGTTAGCCCAACATTTGGATGCAAGGTATTGCCTATAACTGATAGCATAGCTAGGTCTTCATAAGGTTTTCGCCAGTTAATGGTCAGAATGATGACGAACGATCTAAGAGGATTAAACTTCTTGCAGAGTCAGAGTTGAAAGACAACAGGGACTTGGGGTATTAAAAATGATAGATTCATTCTAATGATTTCATATTCTTTTCTTATTTTTTCTTAGTCTTAAGGGAGGTAGAAAATCAATTTAATTGTGATATCTTTCTTGGGAGTAGTCTATTAGGAATCCTGGAAAAGCCAAAGAATATTGGAGAGATGGGTGGGGAGATCTGCCCCCAAAAAAAGCTGGGGTGAGGTTATCTTCCCAGGAGCATGTAGAATTCTATAGGCAGGGCCATCACATGTAGCCTGAAAGATTGTTAATGACAGTGCACCAGAGCCCATCATCTACAGAGACTTGAGTGTGAACGGAAACCCCTGGGGTTATGCTGTGCCACATCTGCCTCTATCTATAGAGCTTCTATCTGTAACTATCCCTCCAATCCTGCAATTAGTTAAAGCATAGCAAAGGTAGTCACATCAGTAGCATTATTAATTATGGTGAGAAATCAAACAGCCTAGTTAAAAGCATTGGTTAGTAAATATAATCTTTAGAAGACATTTAAAAATGTAATATCTATACAAGACATGAAAAGAGATATGGATATGTAAAATAGAGAAGGTCATGAAAATTGTGCTAATTTTATATTTATGTTTGTGTTTAAGTACATCAGGATGTCTTGATGCTGACTCAAAGCAACTGTGTCTAGCAAGACAGAATTCTCCTTTCTACATCTCCTGATGCCAGTCTCCCAGGTAAGAAAGCTTTGAAACCTTCTGTGAGAGCTACCTGTCGTCCATCTAACTCCAGACCCAAGATCATGCTTTCCGTGTCCTTGTAACTAAATCTCCTAGGCACAGTCTTAGGGAAAAAAAGTGTAGCAGTTATCATATCCTACCATGTAAAGTCAGATACATCCACTTCTACTCTGTGAAGTTGACTAGGAATTAGGATCAGATTGATACGATAACTGTTTCAGAATTTCTGAATTATCAAGAGCAGAGTACCTATCTGTCTGTCCTGACTCACCTTCCTTACTGGTTCCTAACTGGACCAAGTGGCAGAAATGATAGTTTAAGTAGTGGTGTTCTATATGCAGTGGGGCTTGGGACAAAGTTTCCATGTTGACAATCTTCTTTTTATGTTTAGATTAGGCACACGTCCTCATTGCTTCTTACTCCTGGCTAAACAAGTCTTGTGTTTAGTTTGAATCATCTATCTGTTTTTCTACTCTGTTGTGAAATGGAAGTACCCATCCATTCCTCAGAATATTTCACATGTCCGTAAAGGTTGCAGATCCTCAAAAATAAAAATTGATGAACCAACGATAATTTTGTATATTCATTTTTAGGGATGAATTCGAGATTCAAGGGAGAAAGTTAATTAAATCCAATTCGTTTCATATTTTTTACTGTTTGTGAAAGCTGCAAAGCCCTTGGGGAAAAAGGAAGTTGTAAGGACTCTCAGTTGAATCTAAACTATTTGCCAAGTTCCTAGGCAGGAAAATGAAGTTAGTCAATCTGGTGCCAAACAGCTGCTGAAATGTACAATTTGGAAATGTCCGTTTGTTCAAGATAAGATAGAATAGGTTGATTTTTAAACTTCAAAATTAAGGGGGGAAATTTCCGTGTCTTCATTAGTTATATGTATGGCATCACATTTAATAATTTACATATTTAATGTGTCCGTGCTAATGCTAGCTTTTAAAAATAAGTTCATGAGCTTTCTAAAAGAACTCTAAACTTAGAATGATGGATTCGTAGATTTAATGTAAACCATTTGGATTTTTAAATGATGTTTGAGGGTCTCTATGCTTCAAAAATGTTTCTGTTTGGAAAAAGATACTTTCCAAACAACCAATTAAAATACTTGAGACTATAAAGCTTCCATTTATAAAAGGAGCAAAAACAAATATTTTTTCAAACTTCTGTTTGAAAGCATATGTATAAATGTTTTTGCATTAAAAACTAGGAAATTATTATAGCATTTCTCAGTTTCAAGATAAATTCCTAATCAGTTCACCTATGATACTATCATAAATGAAATTATTGTTACTAATAATTTTGTTTCTCAACAAAATTTATACAAAAAATACTTTCTTTAATTTCATGTTTTTCAGAACTGTAGCATGCCAAAATACATTAAGATACAATCATACATACATAAATTGGAATATAGGTTCACTTGTTTATAACGAATCTAAAATAACAGTGTCTTAAATAATTTAGTTGGAAGTCTATTTTTCTCTCATTCACCATCTGATAGTAAACTGTGCAATGCCAGTTTAAGGAATCTGCTCCATGAAGTCACTCAGTGACCTAGGCTCCTCTATTGTTGTGCCGTCTCTAGGATGCTCCATTTATTCTCATGTCCATAATGGTTTACCACTTAATCCACACTTGAAGCAAGGTAGAAGAAAAACAAAAGCCTGAGCAAGGTGTGCCTCCTCCACTTTAAAGACACAAGCCTGAACATCAAATTAAAGAGCTTCTGCACAGCAAAAGAGACAATAACAAAAACAAAGAGAAACCCCACCAACTGGGAGAACATTTTTGCACCCAACACTAATGATAAAGGACTGATCACAAAAATCTGCAAAGAGCTGATGAGACTCAGCAACAACAAAGAAAATAACCCAGTCAAAAAATGGGCAGAAGAGCTAAAAAGAAACTTCTCAGAAGAGGAAATGCAAATGGCCAACAGACATATGAAAAAATGTTCAACATCACTTGTAATCAGGGAAATGCAAATCAAAACTACCATGAGATACCATCTTACACCAGTGAGAATGGCGCATATTAAAAAAACTAGCAACAACAAATGTTGGAGAGGTTGTGGAGAAAAAGGAACTCTTCTACACTGTTGGTGGGAGTGCAAACTGGTCCAACCACTATGGAGAGCTGTGTGGAGATTTCTGGACCTACTAAACATAGAGCTTCCATATGATCCAGCAATTCCACTCCTAGGTATTTACCCAAAGGACACAGAAACATCAATTCCAAAGAGCACCTGCACACCTATGTTTATAGCAGCACTGTTTACAATAGCTAAGCTTTGGAAACAACCCAAATGCCCAAAAATAGATGACTGGATCAAGAAGATGTGGTACATATACACCATGGAATATTACTCAGCATTCAAAAAAGATAAACACATGCAATTTGCAGCAACATGGATGGCACTGGAAGGGATCATGCTCAGCGAAATAAGCCAAAAAGAAAAAGAAAAATACCGGATGGTCTCACTCATAGCAGGAATCTAGAAAACTTAAATAAGGGACCAGGAAAATGAATATAAGAAAGTGAAAATCAAAATCAACAAAAAACTATGAACCAGAGACACTTTTTGGGGGGTGGGGGGCGGGAGGGGAAGGATTGGGGTCAGAATGGGGCGCTTGCAATTGTATGGGGTAATATAAAAATAAAATTTATTATTAAAAAAAAAAAAAAAAAAGATAAACACATGCAATTTGCAGCAACATGGACGGCGCTGGAAGGGAATCATGCTCAGCGAAATAAGCCAAAAAGAAAAAGAAAAATACCGGATGGTCTCACTCATAGCAGGAATCTAGATAACTTAAATAAGGGACCAGGAAAATGAATAACTATAAGAAAATGAAAATCAAAATCAACAAAAAACTATGAACCAGAGACACTTTTTGGGGGGTGGGGGCCGAGAGGGGAGGGATTGGGGTCAGAATGGGGCATTTGCAATTGTATGGGGGAATATAAAAATAAAATTTATTATTTAAAAAATAAATAAATAAAAATAAAGACACAAGCCTGAATTTACACTCAACATTATCATTTGTATACCATTGATCAGAATTTAGACTGAAACAATTGGGTGCAAGGGATTCTGCTGAATATTCAAAATTTCTCTTAAAGAGGAAGAAGAGAATAGTGATTAGGGACAAATAGCAAGCAGTCTCTTTCACAGACTTGTATCTTTAACCACCAAATATCCAAATGCATATGTCTTGCTTTTCCTTTACCCACAGGAAATACTCCCAAAGTCCCATCCAGTTATATCAAATTCAAAGTTCAAGATCTCTTGGTGATAGGCTTTTCTCTCCATTGTGTGGCTTCTTCTGTTCTGATTACCAATGGCCAAAGGGAAATTTCTTTTTCCACTCACAACGATAGATTTGGAATATTTTGAAAAGGGAAAAGAAAAACACACTGCAGTCATTGTTTCCATAAGTAGCCGTCAAATCCTTCTGCTCAGGGCTTGTGAAGACCCCTGTCCATAATGGAGGTATGTCCATGATTTAGCTGTCTGAGAGGAATTCCCTAATGTCCACCATTCCTAGTTCTGGGAGGTAATTCCTTGTCCATTGGCCTCTGTGGACACATCAGAAGACATTGAGAAGTTAATGTTCCTTAAGGACCACACAGCTTTTCTGTGTAGACTGATGCTTGTTGGCACGTATTTACAAATCTAGAGATTTCTGAGAGAGACAAATCTAGTAAGTATGCAATAATAAGTTCATACTAATACTTTCAATTCCAATCAAACACTATGGAATTCTTCATGTCTTTGTTCCACTCTGTACCACCTTTATCCCTCAGTAAGAGCCTATTTTCTATATCAACATCTGTCCTCATTTGCTCAATTCTAAAATAATTTCAGAAATCCTACATCAATATCTCTACTAACAACAAATTTACAACATAATGTGCAATATGTCTTTATAGTCCTCATCCTTGGAATATATCCCACTAAGGGTGTACACTAGAGTACTATATTCGAAAGCCACTTGGCTTATTTATTTTTGTTTTTGTGTGGCTATGTTGTCATTTTGATATACATTGAGATTCATTTGTGTCTGTTTGTATTCAGTTTTAGATTTTACTTCCATCCTTTCTGATTTATCAATTAATTTTGACCCACAGAAATACGAATAAAGACATATCCTCCCCCAAAAGGGAGATTATAAGGAAGATGTCAATTTCCTTAAAGGTTAGGATGCACTTCTGAATCAAGAAAAAACAGGCAAAGGACATGAACAAAGTTTACCCCCCAAAATTGTAAAAAGTCAGTGGATAGATAGATTAGTAGAACTTACATTTTTTGCACTGATCTGTGAAGATACATGATTTTCACAGTGGTTGACCACACTGCAAGACCTAAATAAATGCTAGTGAAAATGATTGTCATGATCATTGCACTCAGGAGTAATCTGAAAATAAAACAATGATCTACCATCTTTCAAATTTCAGATTAAATAGGTTTTTAAAAACTATTATAATATAATGGTAATATATAGTGTTGGTGGAAATATTAAGAAAATAACTTCATACATTTATGGAAATATAATTTGCTATCTTTTTGGAAGCTCATGTAGCAATATATATCAAAGCATTAAAGTTTGATGAACTCTTACTCAGCAATTGCATTTTAAAGCAATTATCGTAAGAGGATAATGAAATAAATGTGACAAGACATATGTACATGGGTGCTTTGAGTCTAAGCAACAAGCAAAAAATTAAAAAGAGCCAGAAATAAATGAAACATCTGTCTTCAAAGAATTGGCTAAATGAATTATGATGCTTTCAGTCTGTTTCAATTTTCTTTAGACTCCCTGAATAATTCAACTACTTTAAGCTCTTTTTACTACCAAATACTTCAAAAGAGAAATAAGTCTAAGTATTGAATATGTGAGTTAAATGAAAGCAATAGCTATTGTTTTGTGACATTCCCCACCCTAACCCTTACCCTAAATCCTCTCACCCTTGTTTTAATGAAAGACTTT